CGTGGCTGTGCCTGGGGTCAGGGTGCCGCGGCCGAGTGGGGGTGCGCTGTGCGCTCATGTTGTGCGCTTGGATGTGGGAGGATGGGGGAGCCCCCGGGAAAGAAGACAAATCGCTCAGGCTGTAAAGAAGTCCGGGGGCTGGGCAGTTTATAAAGAAGAGAGGTGTCATTGGCTCACAGCACCGCAGGCTGTCCAGGAAGCATGGTGCTGGCTTCTGGGGAGGCCTCGGGACACTTAAAATCATGGGGGAAGGCGAAGGGGAAGCGGGCAGCTCTTACGTGGCCTGAGACCCTTCCTGCTTTCTCCCCATGCGGCTCACTCAGAGTCATGTGGCCGTAGCCACTGCTCAGCGGGGAGAAAGATGGGGACCCGCCGAGTTTGTGCTGGCTCGGATGCTGGCTGTGTGCCTCAGCTAGGCACGGATAACTGGAACATTCTACTTTCTTTTTTATTCCTCCTTTCAGACGAGGGTGACGATAGAGTGTGGTGTCACGTTTGTGAGAGAGAAAACACTTTTGAGTGCGAGAACCCGAGGAGGTGCCAATGGACAGAGCCATACTGCGTTATAGCGGCCGTGAGTGAGTATCTTCCCTCTTATTGGAGACCAACAGGCAGGTGAACAGAGGAGTTTCGGGAATCAGGGCTGTCTAGTTTTTCTCAATAGGGAATAACTAATAGAAAGTAGCTTTTTTTTTTTTTTTTTTTTTGAGATGGAGTCAGGCTGGAGTACAGTGGCGTGATCTCAGCCCACTGCAACCTCGCCTCCCAGGTTCAAGCGATTCTCCTGCCTCAGCCTCCTGAGTAGCTGGGATTATGGACGCGCGCCACCACACCGGCTAATTTTTTATTTTCAGTAGAGGCTGGGTTTCATCGTGTTGGTCAGGCTGGTCTCAAACTCTTGACCTCAGGTGATCCACCCACCCTCGGCCCCCTAAAGTGCTGGGATTACAGGTGTGAGCCACCGCACCCTGCCTGTTTTTGTCCTTTAAAATGTGAAGAGCAAAGTCCTGAGAGGCCAGGGAGAGGTGAAGGGGGAGTGGGGTGAGGTTCAGTCCGTAAGAACTGTGCCAGTGTAAGGCAGTGCCTGCTACAGTGGGTCCAGATAAAATATTGGGAGGTAGGAAGAAAATCTGGGTTTCATGTCATCCATTTTTAAATGAAAAATTAAGCTTTAATAATGTTAAATGCGCCACTGAGAACAGTGTCTGTGTCACTCTTACAAGAGATGCACAAAACCAAGGTGTACAGCCTTCAAGTGTGTTCTCGAAGAAGGGTGCATGCCTCAAAAACTGGAGACCGCTGCTCTGTCATCTGTGATTCCCCTGAAAACCTTTGGGTACATGAAGCCCTCCCTGAGGGGAATCTGGACACCCAGCACATTCTGCCCACAGGGCGATCTTCAGGGCTGGTGAATTCTGATTCCAGCCAGCAGTTGCTCTCCAGCCCTTCGGTATCCACGAAGTTGGTGGGGCGCCGAGGTGATGCTTCAGACTCAGTGTAGCCAACGTTGACTTTTTAACTTAATATGGCAAAATGATTTGTACAGTGAAGTATAAGATGAAGTGTGGTCATGAGACAAGACCCCCAGCTCAGAGCCGAGCCAGGCCCACCGAGAGGCCGGCTCCATGCCCTGGGTGATGGCCAGAATGGCTGGGAGTCATATGTCTGTCTGTGGTCACAAAGGCCTGAGCCAACCTTGTGTTTGAGAAGTTGAGACCTGTGTATTCCCAAATAGCGACCCCTAGACCCGCATTCCCAGTGCATGTGGACAGGCCATACCACGCAGAAGCCAGCCCTTCCCCAAATCTGCATTCAACACACAGGCCTGGCCCTCCTCCTCCCGACCCCCACTTGGTGCCCCAATTGAGTGTGCACCTTTGAACAGGGCCACCAGGGGTAAGGCTTTGACCCAGACAGAAGGGCCTCGGTGTCAGGCGTTAGAATTGCGTGATTGCCTTCTCTCGGTCTTTATTTCCTATTAGAAATATTTCCACGTTTTTTCATAATTTCGAAGCAGTGCTCCGCTAGTTGTGCAGCGATTGAGATACCCAAGCCAGAGGAGAAGCCGTTTCTCCTGGAAGAGCCCCTGCCCTTCTTTTACCTCAAGTGTTGTAAAACTCGCTACTGCAATTTACAGGGGCCGGCTATCAACACATCATCGTTCAAAGAATATGCTGGGAGTGTGGGTGACAGCTGTGGTGGGCTGGGGCTGGCCGTCCTCCTGCTGCTGGTCTCCATTGCGGCCGGCCTTAGCCTGCCTTGAGCCACGGGACTGTCATGGACTGAGCCTTCTGAAGCATGGACTCGCTCCAGACTATTGTCACCTGTTGCATTAAACTTGTTTTCTGTTGATTACCTCTTGGTTTGACTTCCCAGGGTCTTGGGATGGGAGAGTGGGGATCAGGTGAAGTTGGCTCTTAACCCTCAAGGGTTCTTCAGCTCACATTGAGAGGAAGTCCAGATCTCCTGAGTAGTGATTTTGGTGACAGGGTTTTCTGTTTGAAATCAAACCTTGTAACTCATTTATTGCTGACGGCCACTCTTTTCCTTGACTCCCCTCTGCCTCTGAGGGCTTCAGTATTGATGGGGAGGGAGGCCAAAGCACTACTCATGGAGAGTATGTGCCCAGATGCTTCTGACCTTTCAGGTGACGCAGAAACACTGGGGGAGTCTGAATGATTGGGGTGAAGACATCCCTGGAGTGAAGGACTCCTCAGCATGGGGGACAGTGGGGCACACGTTAGGGCTGCCCCCATTCCAGTGGTGGAGGCACTATGGATGGCTGCTTTTCCTCAGCCTTTCCTACCAGATTCCAGGAGGCAGAAGATAACTAATTCTGTTGAAGAAACTTAGACTTCACCCACCAGCTGGCACAGATGCACGGATTCATAAATTCCCACACGTGTGTGTTCAACATCTGAAACTTGGGCCCAGTAGAGAGCATCGGGGTAAATGGCCTTCATTTCTCTATCAAGATGCAGCCATCCACGGAGAGCTGAGAAATCAGACTCAGAGTTCCACCCGAAACAAATACAAGGGGACTTCAAAAGTTCACAGAAAAATTGAACTAAAAGATAACAATTAAAAAATAGGTTTTATTTCTCAGCATGCGCTCTATCAAGGTTGAGATGCTTTTGTAAGTGATGGTAGCAGCCATTCAGTTCATCCCTAAAGAACTGGGCACCCTGGGAATTTAACCATGCCACTTCAGTCTTTGTTACGTTATTAACTTTAAAGTTTTAAAACAGAAGTAACCAAATCAGGCCTGGAAGGTGTATGCCTAGTGATTTCCCATTGAAACTCTCACAAAACTGGCCTTGTTTGATGAGAGGAATGAGCAGGAGCATTGTCATGATGGAGAAGGGCTCTCTGGTGAAGCTCTCCAGAGTGATGATTTCCTGGGTATTTTCCTGCTAAATCATTGACTTTCTCTATACACTCTCATAATAAGATGTTACTGTTCTTTGGCTCTCCAGAAGGTCAATAAGCAAGATGCCTTGAGCATCCACAAAACGGTTGCCATGACCTTTGCCCTTGACATGTCTGCTTTTGCTCTGATGGGACCACTCCCACCTCTCGGTAGTCATTCCTTCGCTTGTGCTTTGCCTTCAGGAGTGTACTGGTTAAGCCATGTTTCATCTCTGGCTATAATTATTTGAAGAAATGCTTCAGGATCTTGATTCCACTTGTTTAAAATTGCCGGAGAATGCTTTTCTCTTATCTGCAGCTGAGCTGGGAGAAACAGTTTTGGCACCCACTGAGTGGAGAGTTTACTTAACTTTAATTTCAGTCAGAATTGTGTAAGCTGAACACCTTGGGATGCCTACAGCATTGGCTATTGTTTCTGCTGTTATTAATCAGTACTCTTAAATTAGGGCACAAACAAGATGAATTGTTTCCTCACAGACTGATGTGGCTGGTCTGCTGCTATGGACTTCGTCTCCAACATCATCTCTTCCCTTCTTCCAATGAGTAATCCACTTACTTAAACTGCTGATTTCTTTGAGGCATCGTCCCTATAAACTTTCAAAAAATCATCAATGATTTCACCATTTTTCCAGCCAAGCTTCACCATCAATTGCATATTTGTTCTGGTTTCAATTTTAGCAGAATTCATGTGTCTGATACGAGCTCTTTTCAAACTATTGTCTTATACTTCTTAGGGCCTCAAACTAGATCCTGTTCAGACGTGTTTTCACAAGTTAGTATAAGTTTATTTTGTTGCAAAAAAAATTGAAATCCATGCATTCTTTTTCCCAGTATGCATTTTCCATGAACGTTCTAAAGATCACTCATCCTTCCTCCCCAGGTTGCCTATTCAGTGTCAGGGAGGATGTGACCCTACCCACTGCCCACTTTTGTCTCCCTTCTGTCACCACCATCCTGGCCAGCCACTGCTTGGTCTAATACCAGAGGCTGCTGGGTGGGGAACCCTGGGGAACCTTCCAGATAGAGTTTCTTCGCTCTTCCTGAGGCATGGGAAACAGGCTCATCTCAGTCACATCTGAACACTTCAAACCTGAGGCCAAAGTCCATTCTGGGGGCAGTGGGCAAGGAGGGTCCTAGCAACTCAGGACCGTATAGGACCACCAGCACCTGTCAGGCTCTGCCTGTGTGTACATCTTTTTACCCATCACAGGCTTGTGTTCACATCCTGCCATTAATACCAGCACCCAGAAACAGTAGCCCCAGCTGCTTCCAATTCACAGCCCTGGACTTGAGTTTGGGGAGCATTACTTTTGTTAAGGCAGGCAAAAGTGGGAACTTCATTCAGAAAGAGCAAGTGAGGTAGGAGGTCAGCCATATGAGAGAGTTTCCATGGCAACCTTCCATTAAAGTCTCTTCAAATGAAGGATGTAATCTGTGATGTAAAATAATAGCAAGTCAAGAAATGTGAATATGGAAAGGTCCGAAATTGGGAACTGCTGGGTCTCTGGTAATACTAGGAGCACTCCCAATTACTTGAGTAAGGGACGTAGAAAATTATTGCAGGGTTAGGAATTAGAATGGATTGAGGAGTTTGCTGTCTCCGGTGTGATAGATGCTCTTTCTAGAAAAGTCACCATGGATGGAAGACAGAATGGAGGGTAGTGTCTAGAAAAGAATAAGGTTCAACATAGATGCTCCATTATGAATGTAAAAGCTTGAGTATTTGTTGACAAAAGGTTAAGAGTCAGTCTAGAGTGAGGGATTGGAGAAGCAGGAGATGGTGGCCCAGCTGGTCAGGGAAGGTCCTTACACAGGCAGAATAGAACAGGGGACAGATCCAAGGCTGAGACACTGACAAGGAGAGTAGACACTTCTATCAACGTGGAAGAGCAATAGGCAAGAATACAGAGAAAGATCATGTATGAGAATGGACCAGGAAGTTGAAAGAATTCATCCCCAGCACTCATATTTTCTCTGTGAAACAGAATACAGTTGTGTCTGCTCAGAGAATGAGGGTACAAATAAGGTTGGACTTTGAGTGCCATGATGGAAGCTTCAGACTATCCCTAAAGGCAAGAGAGAAGGGATATCTTAGGGGACATAACATAGGATAGCCTAGCATTGTGGAGGTCATGACTAAGACAGGGCATTAAACATTTGCAAAGACCTGCAAGAGTTCAGTGGTGGATTTTCCCCAGCAGCAGTCCATGTTTATGAGGGGGAAAGGCAGATGACAAATGTATATCTGGGTGTGAGCCGGTTCAGAAGGTCAAGATGGAAAGAGAGCAGTTGAGTGATGAACTGTGGGAGATTGAGTGGAGAAGTCAAAGTAAGGTTAGAAATACCAGTTTTGAAGAACAGTACCAAGGCCAGAGGCTGTAGACGGCACAGAAACACAGAGCAGATGTTAGCAATCCCATGATTAAGAGAGTAGGAAAGAAGGAGATTACAACCACTAAAAATAACCAGAACTTAGTACACAATAAATGAAGGCTCAAAACTAATGGGGAAAGAATGGATTATTGAATAAATGATATTGTTAAAATAGGCTACTGTGTTACTACTAGATCAGGTGTGTGAGTAATGGAAATCCCCAAATCATAATGACTTAACACAAGAATGTGTATTTCTTGCTCTTGTAAATGAAGTGAGCAAGTAAGCAGCACAGGGCTGTGGGTCACTGCTGGAAGGACCCCTTTTCACGTGCCACCACAGCTTGGAGCACACACGGGGAAAGGGTAATGTATGGGTTCTGTAAGACCAGCATGGTTTTCAGAATTATAAATTCTCCAAAATATATATGCATGTATAGATCATCACCTATGTGTAGCCTTTAAAAACAAAATTGAAAATTTGAGGTTCCACTTTGAGTCCAGAAAGCAGTCTTCTAAGAATAAGTATGTCAGGGTTTCCAAGAGCTGCTGGTAGCCTGATGGCTGGACTCAGAGGATACATGAAGACACACTAGAAAGTATCTTGAACATGGATTTCATGTCTTGATCTCTGAAAACAGAAAATGACCCTCCTGTAATACACATGAATTAATTCATAAATCTCCAAACAGCTAGACTTTCTGAAGGCTCTGCTTCGTCAAACAAACATGTCCAGGTCTCTGAAATGCCTTTCTATCTCAAGCACTAAAAAACTATTACTGACTAAATTCTTTTAGGGCAAACACAAAACTGATACTATAAAACAGAAACAGCACAAGAAAGGAAATTAGAAGCCATCATAATTGTGAACAAAAAATAAGTAAAATATTGGCTAATCAAATCCAAGTGTAGTAAAATACTAATACATTATAAGTACAATTTATCCCAAAAATGCGAGAATAATAAAATCTTAGGAAAAGATATCACTCACCATAGCAAGAGAATACGGAATAATAACCAAATGATAATCTATATTCAGTCATAACATTTTAAAAATCTTGGATACCTAAGAATAGAAGGCAATTTCAATATTTTGAAAAAAGTTACTTACCAGAAACCTAAAGCAAACACCATACTTAGTGGTGAAGCATTAGTAGTGTTCTGTCTAAACGCAAAAGCATGATAAGCCTATATACATTGTTACCATTGCAATAAAACATTAAAGTGGAGAGTTTAGCCATGTAATGTAAGAAAAATAAAGAGTATAGAAACTTGTTCCCAACAATCTGCCACATTAGAGAGTCACCTATAACAGAAGACCTTAAATTAATTAATTTGTAAAGAACAGAAATTTATTGCTCACAGTTCTGGAGGTGGGGAAGTCAAAGATCAAGATGCCAACAGATTTGATGTCTGGTGAAGGCCTGTTCCTCATAGATGGCACCTTCTATGTGTCTCTGGAAAGACCTAAAGAGGCGAAGACATTCCCTTCGGTCTCTTTCATAAAGGCATGAATCACATTCTTGAGGGGTGCCTCCAAAAGGGATGCACCTC